TTGTAATTATACCTAAGATAATCTAATCCTACATTGTATTTTAATTTATAAAACTCGAATGTTGACGTAAATTTATAGGGGGGTCACTGAAAGTTTGACAAGTTGTTGACAAGGGGGAGGGTAAAAAAGTAATATATTTTAAAATAAATATATTACTTTTTTATCGCGCTTAACTTGTCTTATTTCGCGTTTATTAGTTAAAATTTTTTAAAATGTTTTTAAACTTTTGAAACTTTTATAGCAAAAAAAAAAGAAATCATTTTTAAAAAAACTTCCAGCGAATCTGTTTTTATACATAAACATGAAAATTTGCTAGAGAAGTTCACTGGAAGTTCGCTGGGTTTTGGAAAAAGTTCGCTGGAAATTTCCAGCGAACTTCCAGTGATCTTTAAAGATCACTGGAAGTTCGCAAGTTAACAAGGAAATAACAACTTTAACATAAAAGTTAAAGAGCCAATCTTTTGTATAAACAATTGCATTATTCAACTAAAAAAAAGCAAAAAAATTATACAGATTATTTAAAAATATTTATTAAAAAAAAAATTGCAAGCCTACTGAATGCTTCTTCTTTTCTAACTTTCGTTTCACTGGCACTTAAACAAGTAAATATTGACAGAAATTAGTTACAGGTTTTATTTTTTTGTCTGAAAATAAATATTTTAGTTTAATATGTAACAAACAACGTTTTTCAAGCATAACACATAAAATTAGTCCAAAAATAAACAGTAAAACTTTTTAAAACACTTACCTGCGGCTAACTTAATTGAGACTAGATCATATTGATACCATTTTACTGGCACCACGCCATCCACTTTTTGCTTTTTCCAATTAACATTTTTTAGCTAAACAGCTGCAATTATATATATATATATATTATATATATATATATATATATATATATATATATATATATATATATATATGTCTAAAAGTTATAGTTTTTATTGAGAAAAGTATCATTTTACACGATATAATTATATTTTGAAAAGTTGCCCTTCTAATTTTCCGCTTCGAAAAGCAAGATATCCGGCCGTGTAATTGTAGTAGACCATGAACGAAACAATTGGTTGACAGAAATGATTGGTAAACTTCATTTTTTCACAACTGCGTACTGTTTTTAACTAAGTGAAGTGATTTGGAAGTTTTACATAAAACTGAGTGTAATAGTCTTTTTAAATTTTCTAAACTTACAGCTAAATCAGTTTATCCAAAACCAATAGAGAGACAGTCTGTAAAATTTTGTTTGTATGATTTTGTACGAAACAGTAGAAACAGTAGGTCCTATTAGAACGCATCTAGAAATCGAAGATAAAGCATCTAAAGGTTCTGCTGTATTCATTGAAACTTTTTTTTAATATTGTTAATATCAGAGCGCATTGTGCTGGCATTCGGTTTAGAAGTAAAATATACAGAGAAATCCAATCAGTTCGTGATCAATAGCCGCAACTGCTACAGCATTAAGTTTGAAAGTTAAGCATTATCTCGTATACAAAATAATGCTAAAGATAATTCACACTCTTGAAAAAAACTTCTAGATAATTTACATGTTCTTGAATGCTCAATTAATCAATCAAAATTAGTTGCTAAGAAGTGTTTTAAAAAATGAAATTTTGAAAATGCGGATACACAAGAAGCTAAATTTGGGAAAAATATTATAAAATACGATTACAAAAAAAGTTTCAATAATATCGAGATTTACCATAGTGCTCAAGCATCAAAATACCCTCAAAAATGCCCGGAATAGTACTCATTTAATGAGGCTTTGAATGCAAGGTAAATCTCAATATTTTGTATAATTTTTTTTGAAATTGAAAAAGACTTAAAATAAAAAAAAGGTAAACAAAAAATTTAGCACACATTTAATCTAAATTATTAACGAAACAATCATAACCAAACCAACTCTTATTTAATACCTTTTTCACTTAAACTCAATATTAACATCTTATATTAGATATAAAGTTATCT